CAATCAAAAGAAAAGATGTTAAATATTTTGTTAATTATATAATACTGTTGTAAAGTATGTGCGACGTGACGATATGTTAGGTCCATTTGATGGAGCTGATTTAAAATAAAATAGTTTCTTCTGAAGAGTCAAATGATCATTGTCAAAATATAATACTACTAAAAACACGTATAGATGATGTCCACCAGAATAAGTAGAATCAAATGTCAAAAAAAATACTATATCAATAGTTTAGGAAGAATACTTTTAACTAATATTTCATTTTCTAACATTGTAACCCAAATTTTCATTTCGTTGGATCTCTGAAATCTCTAAGAAATTGTAAATATTTTGTGAGATGAAGATATTGAGTTAACCAATATGTAAAATGCGCAAATGCACAATAATAATAATAATAATAATAAAGAAATAAATAAATTGAAAACTGGGTAAAACAAATTTCGAGTGAAAAATATATCAAAATTAACAGTAGAGAGAGAGAAGGTCGAAACTGCCTCTTTAATCATGGCTCGACGAACAACTTACCCTCCACACATTTCTATATAAAAACTTATAATAAATAATATAAATATGTTAAACATTTACCAATAAAAAATTTATTTTAGAAGGCTTTTTTTTTATTTAATAATTGAGCTTCTTAAGCATAGTCAAAATATCATAAGGAGGTGTCAAGTAGGTGCATGTTTAGAAATGACATTTCAAGGTAGTAAACATTATATACGAGGGTTCTGCTTCTCAAACAGGGACACATAGGCCTTGTTTTTCCAGGGAAGAATTATTTTACTTTATTAATCATTTTTTGTCCAAAATTTTGCATTATTTTGTCTTATTTTTAGGAAACGTATAAACTATTTTTAATCATATAAATTTGAATACTACAAATGAGAAGTATGTCTCAACCAAAAATAGATTTTTGCATAGTGTGATAATTAGAATTGCGCATCATGGGTTGATATTAGTGGTGGAGTCAAGGGATAATAAAAAACTATTTTCACTGAATTAATACAAAAATAAATGGGTATGGTCCTGGAGCTAAAGCCCACAGTTCCTCTTTATGTTCTTGTGAAAGCTTTGAAGAATTCCCTTCAATCATGTCACTGTTAGAGTTTGTTTGACATGGATTTTTCAAGTGAAATATAAATTTTTAGAGGATGTGTAATTAAAATGTAAGAAAAAGTTATGGAACATATACAATAATTAGAGAAAAAAAAATTTAGGAAAATTTATGTCTAACAGGCCCTTGATATAGAGCCTGTTTGGAAGTGATTTTGAGAATTGATATTTTGACCGTTAGGAGAAAAGTGGGGTCCATCCGTGAGAGAAAAAGTCAAATATGACAACTGTAATAGTAAAATAATGGTCAAAAAATCAATTTTTTAGAAAAAAAAATCACTCCCAAATAGGCTGATAAACTTCATCTTAGGGAGAAAAGAAAAAGGCAAAAAAAGTCGAAATATATATTCAAAATCAATAAAGAAATCAGTGTGTGGGATGGAGATTTTGAAATGTGATTTTCTTGGAAAATGTGCAGTTAAAATATTAAAAAAATTGAAAAACGTGAAAGTAATTTTAAAGAATATATATTGAAAATAAATATCAGAAAAAGTAATTTTCAAAAAATCACACAAGATGAAGCCTATTTGACAACAATTTTGGCAAAAAAAAAAAAAAAAACGGAGTTTAAATAATAATTTTTAGAAGTGTATGATTAAAAAGTATAGAAAATCTGCAGTATATGTGTATAATATTTTATTGTATGAATATATTGAAAATGATCATGTTACAATCCATAAAATAAATTAAAGAATGTCAAACAAGCAAGAAATCTCCATCGTAAAAGAAACTTGTTTGGCCCCATTTAAAATTTAAAATTGTTGTTGTTACGTTACCATTCTACTCTACACATTCACACAATAAAATATTCTACACACAAATTAATAAAGTTTCTTTATTTTTAACAACATATTCTTCAAAAAATACTGTTCATAACTTTTTAATTTTCCAAATAATGGGTGACAATCAGGGTTTAAATTCCTAGAGAAGTTTATCGGATGGTTGGTTACGATACTATAATTTTTTTAGACCCTAGAGAAGTTTATTGGATGGTTGGTTATGTTACTAAAAAAATTATATTTTCCTAAAACCTAATTTTTCTTACACATTCTTTTGGTAAAATAATTTTATACGTAAATAATTATATCTATTTTAACCCTACAATCTATAAATTAATCACTATTCACAAAATTAATTTCAAAACATCTACGTCGAAGTATTCTTCAAGGTCGTTTGGATAAACAATGGATTCCCCCAATTTGTTATCTTTATCCCGAAGAAACGAATCCTAACGTGTTGAGTAGACATTGAAAGACACGCTTGAGTCAACCATCACAAGTGGCACATATAAATTGCCTCTGATGTGTCGGTGAACACAGTGCAGATTTTCAGAACGTCCAAACGCGCACGAATTTTGATTCAATCACCTCTTCCACACGCCGACGCACACAGAAATGGACCTAAGAGAATCCATCAAGAACCAAACACAAGCATCACTTCAGCTTGCACATCACTTGGTTTCGACTGAGGCCAAGGAAAAGAATTTGGTGTTCTCGCCGCTCTCGATTCACGTGGTGTTGGGTCTGATCGCGGCCGGATCCAAAGATCAAACCCTTAATCAGTTGCTTAATTTCCTCAAATCGAAGTCCACTGATGAACTCAACTCACTCTCCTCTCAGCTTGTAACTCTCATTTTCGCTGACGGTGGCCCCCTTGGTGGGCCTTGCTTGTCATTCGCTAATGGGGTTTGGATAGATCAGAGTCTCAGCTTCAAGCCCAGTTTTAAAGAAATTGTTGATAATATTTACAAGGCTGCTTCTAATCCTGTTGATTTTCAAACTAAGGTTAGTTTAATTTCTATTTTCAATTGTAGAACTCATTAATCTGTTTATCGTTGATCAAGGTTTGATTGTTTCCTTATAACATTTTTTTGCTTATTATTGGTGTCTATAGGTGGTTTGTGTGCTGTCAAATTTCTTTTTTTTTTTTTT